ATATGTGTGTGTACTATTTTTGTGTATGTTCGGATTATTTAACTTCCGAATTATGTGAGCCTGGGCATTGCTTTCGAACTTTTCTAGTGTCAGAAGCTCTGCTTTGGCTTGCTTTATAGCTTGGAAAAACGCACAAAAATCCGATATATCTAGACATTAAAGCTGATCGCGTAATGGCCCAACTTAGATAAAGCATCTCCGCACTCACTCTCTATGACAGGCGGAAGCAATCAGGAAATATTCCGGGAATAGCAAGTGCCTACAACAGCCACGGTCTGGCAAGGCTGTTTTCGTGGATTCCTTAGAAGCAAGTTGATAACGGAATTTGATCCAGTAACTTGAAACAAACTTTTAAATCCCACAGTTTTCTAGTTTAAAAACACATTTACAAAAAGCAGCAAAATTTATTCAATATTCTGGGCTTTTTCCGAATAGATTAAATTAGATTAAAAAGCAATGGAAAGGTATTTTAAAGTAGGAAGAAGAGGAAATAATATTAGGAAATTAGTAAAAGTGGCAAAATTATTTTGATAAAAACATTATAATGGCAAGTCTCTTACAAATCATGTCTGAACCTTGCATGCGTACTCTATCATTCGCTGGCCACAGCTAAGCAGCCGCAGCAGTTCATTGCAGCAGGTTGCGTAACCGTGACGGCTCCCTGTTTTGCACTAGTGTTTGTAAATTTATGCAAAAACACGCTGGAATGAAAAAAATATTGCATCCCTCCCGCCGTCCCTCCTTCAAAAAAGCCAATTTTTTTTCACTCACTCCGCGAACATATTAGACTAACAAGTGCTGCTTTCTCACCTAGCTTTTACTTACCTAGCAATTGGCTAGGAACGCTTGGCCCGGATTTTAGCCCGAGCACAAGGCTGTAGAAAACAGCTTTTCCTCTGGAGCCTTGTATCTAATAAATAAAAAAATGTTGCAAAGGATGGAGAATTGAGACAAGCCGAGGCTGTGGTAGGAATTTGGGCTTTCTTGACACGGAGATGAAGCCAGCAAGATGCTGCTGCTCTGTATTCTCCTAAATGGCTTCCGCCTTCTTTCTCAGTATGCAGGCTAATTTCGCAGACTTGCTATAGTTCGGCGTCATTCAGGAAAAGGCGTTTTTGAGCTATTGTAACTAAGTGGATGGAACAAATTTTTTTGTTTTCCTATTCTGTTTGCCCTTAGTCCAGTGTCGTTTTCTTGCTAGCAAATTGAATTTCATAATGAACTGAACCAACAAACAACCAAAAAATCTGAAATCGCCCAATAGGATATGTCGCCGTTTTCAAAAAGTCATTGAATTTAAATTCCAAATACTGGATTCAAATTGTGAGGTCCAAAAAAAAAA